TTAAGACTTTATCAAACTTAAAACCTCTCCCCGGGGTCACCTCCAAGGGTCCTTGGGTGCCTGGTACAATTTCACTATTTTCAGGTACAAACAGAGAAGGAATAAATAGCTCTAGCTAGCAAGGACCTTGGGAATCAACCTGGGAACAACCAGGGATGATCCCAAATATTTCCAAGCAACAGAACCAACAACACAACCTTGGAAAACAACAACCAGGTTCAGGTCCTAAAAACACAACCTGTTTTGTCTTTGCCCAACCAGCCAAATGCTGGTTCCGCTGGTTTCCCCTGGCCCTGTAGCATGCAGATACAGACAAACAACATCCAACCTTCGCCTAAATTGTACCCCTATAGTGCCTGCCCTGCTACACTATAGTCAACCAAACAAAACAGTACAATTTCGAGTTGGATAGAACTGAACCGCAAAGCTTCCATCTTGGGTTCCTTTGCGAGCTCGTCCTTTCTGCTTGTACTGTTCATAGCGCGTACAATGTTGTGCCGAAGCGCATAATGCGCGAGTACCTGCAAATGCTTCAAGCGAAAATTGCGAAAGCAAAAAAACACACCGAACATTCCATTCACACCCAAATGCATTCGCACACGCATACTCATACAAACAGACAGCAGGATGTTGTGCAATGTGAATTTGCACCCAACACACTCCCCCTCAGCCTGTCGGCTGCATCCCCATCATTCCATACTAGTTCATACTTATTCCACTCATGCGCACACAACGCCAGTGAGGCTCATCTGCAAGCCTCTTGGTGAGGATGGCTGCTGGTGAGTCTTGATGTAGAACGGATTCACCGTCCCTCTCTTCACCTCCTTACGCAGCCAGTGCCACTTGATACGCATGTGCTTATTGAGCCCATGAAGCACAGCGTTCCTGGCCATTCCAAGAGCCCCCTTGCTATCACAGAACAGCGGCGTAGCAACCTTCTGCTCCTGGCCAATCTCCTCTAACAACCTCCTCAGCCAAATCACCTCCTTCACCCCATGGAACATCGCCATATACTCTGATTCCACAGAAGAGAGTGATGTCTCCGTCTGCTTCTTTGACCTCCAACTAACAGGTCCTCCCCCAACTACACAGATGTACCCTCCCACAGATGAGGAATCCTCCTTCTCAGAGGCCCACAAAGCATCGGTAAAGCAAGTGAGAAAGAGCTTGCCTTCTCCAAGCCTCTCCCCCTTCTCTTTCAGCACCTCAACCCCTTTCTGCTTCACCTGTGCAGATGCGGAGTATTGAACTCCAATGCTTGGGTGAGAGTTCAGATACTTCACCACACGCTCAGCTGCATCCACCTGCTCCTCTGATGGATTCTGCACCACCCTGGCCAGCTGCCCAACCGAGAAAGAGATGTCGGGCCTCGTGTGAACTGCTGCATACAAGAGGCTGCTGAAATTGCTGGTGCTCCTCGGCTTCAACCCCTTCATCCTCTACAGCTTTCACAAGCTTGAATTCTGCTGGCAGGGGAGTTGCAACCTTGCGCTTATTCTCAATCCCATACTTCTCCCCCAGCTCCTTGATGAACTTCTCCTGGTGCAGTTTCAACCACCTGTGATCTGGATCCCTCTCCACATGCATCCCGAGGTAGTATTTTACCTCCCCACGGTTCTTGCACTTGAAGTTCTCCATCAGCTGCTGCTGCACTTTCTGGATCTCCTTCATGCTGCTGCTGAAGAGAAGAATGTCGTCCACGTAGACCAGAAACAACACCAGCTTCTCCCCCTCCCCCTTGAGAAAGAGGCTCTCATCACAGCTGCAGGTCCTGAATCCCATCTCCTCCAAAACAGCTGCCAGCTTCTGGTACCAGCAGCGTGGCGCCTGCTTTAAGCCGTAGATGGACTTTTTCAGCTTGCACACCCTGCCCGTACCATCCTCATACCCAGGCGGCTGCGTCATGAACACCTCCTCCTCTAAAATCCCGTTGAGGAATGCCGTTGATATGTCCATCTGGATAATGAACTTCCCACTAACGGCTGCATCTGCCAACAAGACACGAAAGGTAGGGGGTTTGGCAGTGGGAGCAAAGATCTCATTGAAGTCCCGCTTCTCCTTCTGCATAAACCCCTTAGCCACCAACCTACTCTTGTAGATGGTGACCTGCCCCTTGTCATCAGTCTTGATCCTTAGCACCCACTTGCATTGTACCACTTTCTTTCCCTCAGGTAGCACCACTAGTTCCCAAGTCCCATTCTCCAGTAGGCTCTGGTACTCAGCATCCCTAGAAGCCAGCCATTTGTCCCTATCTGGTCCAGCTAATGCCTCCTCCATGCTAGCTGGTTCCTCTGGTGCAAGGGGCAAGAAAACAGTACGCAGGCTCATCCTCCTCATCCGGGTCATAGCCATGCGGTAGAATCAGCAATGCCTCCTCGGTCCCAAGCTGCTGCTCCGCTACATCAGCTCCTGCAGTCAGCTTCTTAGTAGCCGTACGGGTACGTCCTGGCCTGGAGACGGGTGTCTCCCATCCCTTCATAATGACACCCTTCGGCTTCTTGGTTTTTCCCTGCTGCTGCTCTCCTCCCTCAGATCCAGCAGCTCCACTAGTGCTACCGCTAGTCTCCTCACCATCACCTCCACTAGCAGGTGCCTCCTGCACCTTCTCTCTATCACCACACTCTGCAGCTGCCGCTTCTTCCTCCTCCCACACACTAGGAGTCAGGTCCAGCTGCATGGTGATCTGCTCCATTTGCTGGGACACCCTGGCCTCCGGCTGTTTCTGTTGGTGTAAGGGCCTAATAAACTCAAGCTATTAAGACTTTATCAAACTTAAAACCTCTCCTTGGGGTCACCTCTAAGGGTCCTTGGGTGCCTGGTACAAGACCAGCCCCTATCCTCGGGTCCGAGTTTGTAGAGAGAGGGATCAAGAGGGACTTAGTCAAAACAGCAAGAGTACCTTGAACGTCGCGCAGCGTATTGTGCAGACCGTTGATCGGATTAAGCTGAGAATTTACTGTATCGAAGCTCGCTCCAAGAGCTTTAAAATAAGCCAAGTTGCCTCGCGAAAAGTTCTGCCATTACGAAGTTATGGCTCGGACAGCGTTTGCCTAGCGTTGGAGTGCTAGCGTACTAGCGTTGACTCGGGTAGCATTCCGCCGTCACACCGCGTAAAAAGGAAATTCCAGCAAGGAAGGAATTCGCTTGAATCAATTTCACTATATTCAGGTACAAACAGAGAAGGAATAAATAGCTCTAGCTAGCAAGGACCTTGGGAATCAACCTGGGAACAACCAGGGATGATCCCAAATAATTCCAAGCAACAGAACCAACCTGGCTGGACAAAATAGCAGGTGGTAGGTTGGTAAACAACCTCTGGTTCTGTTTTTCCAACCTGGGAAAACAACAACCAGGTTCAGGTCCTAAAAACAGAACCTGTTTCGTCTTTGCCCAACCAGCCAAAAGCTGGTTCCGCTGGTTTCCCCTGGCCCTGTAGCACGCAGATACAGACAAACAACATCCAACCTTCACCTATATTGTACCCCTATAGTGCCTGCCCTGCTACACTATAGTCAACCAAACAAAACAGTACAGTTTCGAGTTGGATAGAACTGAATCTGCACAATCAATTCAACCGAACCGCAAAGCTTCCATCTTGGGTTCCTTCGCGAGCTCGTCCTTTCTGCTTGTACTGTTCATAGCGCGTACAGTGTTGTGCCGAAGCGCACATTGCACGAGTACCTGCAAATGCATCAAGCAAAAATTGCGAAAGCAAACAAACACACCGAACATTCCATTCACACCCAAATACATTCGCACACGCATACTCGTACAAACAGACGGCAGGATGTCGTGCAATGTGAATTTGCACCCAACACTTCTCGCTCCTTCTTACGCGACAGCACCACCCTCACGCCGCTCAATCGGCCGGTTGCAGTCTCCCTGGCAGACCCCTCTGGGGGTCCAGTCCGTGAGACCTCCACCATTGTCCTCCCTTGTCCTGCTGTCCCGTCCGGCACACTGTCAGGTCTTTACCTCCCCTCGTTCTCTATGAAATTGGTGGCGGGTTCTGCGCTCCAGGACGCGGGTGTTCACCAGTTCACCCCTGCCTACAAGCGTGTGACACAGTGCATGTGTGCTCAGACGGGTCGTCACCTGGCTACCTTGACTCGGCAGCTGGGTTCGGGCCTGTACACATTGACCACTGAGTCCCCTCGGGTAGCTGCGTCTGCGTCTGCGTCAGGTCAGTTGTCGGCCCCCTGCTCGTGTCGCTCCTTGTCGCACCAGACCCCCCTTTGGCACCACCGCCTTGGTCACCCCTCGTTGCAGCGTCTTCGCAGCATGCATCGCCGTGTCCTTGTCTCTGGTCTTCCCAGGGTTCTCCCTCCCCTCCCACCCTCGCCTGCTCCTCCCTGTCTTCCCTGTGTCGAGGGGCGGCAGCGCGCCGCTCCTCACTCCTCCTCGTTCCCTCCCACAGAGACTCCCCTGCAGACTCTCCACCTGGACGTGTGGGGCCCAGCCCGCGTCCGTGGACTGGGCCACGAGCGGTACTTCCTACTGGTCGTCGACGACTACACGCGTTACACCACGGTCTTCCCCTTGCAGCGCAAGGGGGATGTCCCTAATGTTCTGATCCCTTGGATTTCGCGATGTTCGTCTCCAGCTCCGCGAGCGGTTCGGGACGGACTTTCCTGTCCTGCGTCTGCACTCCAGCAGCACCTGTCCTGAGTCTGAATAGCAGCAGCAGCGTGAAGGACTCGCCGCCGTTTTTTGTGATTACCCGTCGAGAGGCCATCTTCTGCCTCTTCCCCCTTGCCACTTCGCTTTCGCTACTGCTCCTCGCCTCCGCCGTGCGACACGGTACGACAAACACGATTTTCTTGTCGCCGGACGACTCGGTTTGCGGGCTCCGTGGTGCGACGGGCCTGCGACAGCTCTTGACGGTGTCTGACGACTACCACGACGACTTAGCAGCTGCTCTACCGATGGCAGCGCAAGGCAGCGACGACGAGAAAGATTGAGCGGGCGCTGGCGACGATGCCGCGGTACGAAGCGCAAAGATGGTACTTCTGGGAATGATGCCGGAGACCTCCTCGCCTTGGCAAGAGCCAGGCAATCCCGATCCCGACTCGCTGGCAAGCAAGGTGGAAGACTCGGCAGCAGGGAAGAGCGCTAGCGCGGCAGACGTCGCCGTCAGTGCCAGTTCAGAAAACGCTGATACTGCTACTGCTACGCCTTCCAGTGAGCCTGACGGCGGCAATGCTCGAAAAGACGTCCTTGAACAGCGCCCTCACGACCCCTCTAGCACTACAACTAGTAGTACTAGCAGTGTCCTTACTGCTACCGCTAATTCTAGTATTGCTACTGCTACCAGGGACACTGGTGATGCTGTCTCGGACGTCGGTGGTGGCGCGAGCGGCAAGAGGGATTGCAGACGACGCTCACAAATGGGTCGCTGCGTGGCGGAGCTCTTCAGCCTCTACGGCGACGCGTACCAGTAGGTGCATGCACCTCTTCTCTCTCTCTCTCTTTCTCTTTCTTTGTTCTATCTATTTTTCTGTTAAGAAAAGGCAGTGTGCCAATGTAACTCGTTCTTTTCCTCGTTTCCAGTCAACATCTCACACTAATGTTCTTTCCACTTTGACTTTCTTCTGCCCCCTATTGGCAGATCGTTATGGCCCAGCCGCGTGGATCTCGTAATCCGCAGCCACGTGTCAAGCAGCTTCTTCCTCCTGGAGATGCTCTTTGACAGCATCGAGCAGATGTGGCCACGTGGCATTGGTGACGTCATCCTCATCCTCGACAGTGACGAGCGATTGGCTGAGGACCTCATTCCCACGTGGATCAAAGTCTACTACGAGATTAACATGCTGAAGCTTCCGGGAAAGATCCTGCAGCAGTGGAGCTACCTCTGGGCTGACAAATACACAACAGCCCCTTGCGTGGCCTTGATTGACGATGACGTCATCTTCAACATGAAAGTAACACCCGGGTTACTGTTCAACCTGATAGATGGCAAGCCGTACGTGATTGGCAGCGTGCAGCGACAGCTGGACCACTGGTTACCGTCCACCAAGATTTTCGTTGGCAAGGACAAGTACTTCGCCAACTTCATGGTGCAGCTGCCATTCCTGATGCCGACCAGCGTGCTGCCTAGATTCAGAAGCCATGTAGCGAATCTGCACAAGGATAAGGGCGGCAGCTTTGACTCCGCTTTCAAGTGGTTCTCCAAGCATGGGCCGAAGTTTGAGCGGACCCAAATTGCCCACACGACCATTGGGAACTACATGTGGGCGTATGCTCATGATGAGGTGCACTGGGCCTTGGAATGGACAAGTCACACGCCGATCCCTCGCGTGGGCATGCATCTGCCCTACACGAAGCCGTTCCGCATCGCCACGAAGCACGACGACAACGCGCCACGTGTCATCAAGACGTATGTTCAGGTGGCAGCTTACTACTCGCACGAGGGTGTGTGCCATGCATTGCCTGATGGGGAGCTGCCTGGGTGTGATGATGTGAACCGCTTCCCTCAGAGGCAGATATGGCAGTATGCCATGGATTGGTATGACTGGCCTGCTATCAAGAAGAAGAAGGCTAATGCTACTATATTGTATGATCAGTACCGGAGTGAGCTGGCGTGCATGTACTGGAGGGTAGCTTAGGCAGTTGGAGAGGAGTCCGCTGTGGTGGGGACAACTGTACAGCTGAGACGGGCTGATCCCGCAGAGAGAAGAAGGGAGCTCTTGACATACCTTCAGGAGTGTATCACCCCAAGGTAATAAAATTAATGAGGCTGCTGAGCTTGGTTAAAAAGATTCTTTGAACAACATGCCATGGGAGCACCTGATATTCATCAGACAAATGTGAATCATTATACCGGTAGGTTATCGTATTTCTCAGGAAAGATGGGCCAGTGAGTAAATGTTGTTAAATGGTAGGATACAGGCGATTTCGGACTAAAGGTATATTCCGCTATGGACACTGTCCCAATCGATGTGTCCCAATCGAGTGTACCGCTCCAAACCGAACTAAACCAGAGACGCGAAACTTTCGAAACTAGGGTGCAATTTGGTGTAATAAGATGCAGTGCGGTAGAAACGATTGAGAAACTTACGATTGGGACATGTCCAGCGCGGAATGTACCCTGAGTTTTCGATTTTAAGAATTTGTTGCCAATATGTTGATATCAAACCATCAATCTTCAACATTGTCTGACATACGGTATATTTGACTTATTCTCTGACAGATGGGTCATTCAGCACGCCCGAAGCGCACCTGATCTCCAGGTCTGGTCGTGCGCCCAAGGAAGGGACGAGGCTGGCGAAATCGCGCGCATCGGCTATTTTTGTGTTACACATGATGCCTGATTGAGCCCCTCCCGGTTGCCTTGTGAAGGGGGCGTACAAGCTGTATCGCGCGTTTCGCATAAGTTTCGTCAATTCACTGCTAGCTAAAGAGGATTTGCAGGTACTTATATAAAAGATATGTAACCTTATCCATTGACATTTTGACTTCATTCTCTCCAGTTTGACTTCGGTCTGTTCGTTACAATTGGTTCATAACCACGCGAGGCGCTTGTACCGTGGGTGCAACAAGCTGAGGAAAAAACTTCGGGTTCAGCGTTTCCATCCGGTGCAGAGCAAATTCGCGTGCATGGGGTGGGCATCACTGGTACTCTCCATCCAATCAGTCGACCTAGTCCCGCAAATTCGCTGATGCAGAATTCCTCGGCGCGGCACGGGTCGGTCGGGACGGCATGTCTGCACGTACGAGACCCCCCTATCATAGCAGAACTTATGAGGCAAAGAAGCGTAAAGGCGCGTATGCCCGCCAACTATGGTATAAGTGCTGGTCCACATATGAGGGAGTAGCACAATCCAATTCAAACAGCCCTTATTTCGCACCGACAACTAAATTTCGCGCTGTGCCTAGTAGTACGTCAGCATGTACCTGCCAAAAGTTCATTGCCGCTCTAGTACACCTGAAGAAGGATGTCCAAAATCCGCTTCGATAAGTCGGAGCAGTACGAGCAGCAGCGCCAATATGAAGGATATGATGCAGCCTTTTCTTGTAATTTCCCGTCGAGATGCAATCTTCTACCTCCTCCCCCTCGCGACGGCGCTTTCGCTACTGCTCCTTGCCTCTACCGTGCGAAACGGTATGACAGGCACGGTAGTCTCGTCGTCAATCGACTCGGTTCGCAGGGGCTGGGGAGGGGCCGAAAGGGGCGGTGACGGGGCCGCAAGGGGCGGCGACGGGGCCGCTAAGGGCGGCGACGAGGCCGCAAGAGGGCAGCACTGGGGCCACGAGAGGGCGGCGACGCGGCCGCGAGAGGGCGGCACTGGGGCCGCGAGAGGGCGGCGACGAGGCCGCGAGGAGCGGCTGCAGGACCGCGACGGGCGGCGACGCGGCAGCTAAGGGCGGCGGCGGGGCTGCGAACGGCGGCGACGGGGCCGCGAGAGGGCGGCGACGGGGCCGTGGAGGTGGGGGCCGCAATGTTGGGTGCAAATTCACAATGCACGACATCCTGCCGTCTGTTTGTACGAGTATGCGAATGCAATTGGGTATGAATGGAATGTTCGTGTGTTTGTTTGCTTTCGCAATGTTCGCTTGAAGCATTCGCAGGTACTCGCGCATTGTACGCTTTGGCACAACATTGTCAGCGCTATGAACAGTACAAGCAGAAAGGACGAGCTCGCAAAGGATGGAAGCTTTGCGGTTCGGTTGGATTAAATGCGCAGATTCAGTTCTATCCAACTCGAAATTGTACTGTTTTGTTTGGTTGACTATAGTGTAGCAGGGCAGGCACTATAGGGGTACAATTTAGATAAAGGTTTGATGTTGTTTGTCTGTATCTGCATGCTACAGGGCCAGGGGAAACCAGCGGAACCAGCATTTGGCTGGTTGGGCAAAGACAAAACAGGTTCTGTTTTTAGGACCTGAACCTGGTTGTTGTTTTCCCAGGTTGGAAAAACAGAACCAGAGGTTGTTTACCAACCTACCACCTGCTGTTTTGTCCAGCCAGGTTGGTTCTGTTGCTTGGAATTATTTGGGATGATCCCTGGTTGTTCCCAGGTTTCTTCCCAGGGTCCTTGCTAGCTAGAACTATTTATTCCTTCTCTGTTTGTACCTGGATATAGTCAATTTGATTCAAGCGAATTCCTTCCTGGAATTTCGTTTCTACGCGGTGCTACGGCGGAATGCTAGCCGAGTCAACGCTAGTATGCTAGCACTCCAACACTAGGCAAACGCTATCCGAGCCATAACTGTCAAACATTATATATGTTATGCTTCTGTAGGCTACAGTGGGTTAGCCTATAGGGGGTACACAATTCTAGGGTTTACTACTTGTACTCATTTCACTTCTAGTTCATCCATTCCTGTTAGCTTATTCTCACATGGTATAGAGCGGGTCCTTCTACGGACCGTTTTTTTTTTTTGGGCCCACGGAAGCGCCCCCCGAGGCGCGATCCTTTTTTTTTAGCGACCCCTCGGGTCGCCATTTCCCCTGCGGCCCCGCCGCCTTCACTGACGCGGCCCCGCCGCCCTCTCTGACGGGACCCCGCCGCCGGCCCTTACGCGGCCCCGTCGCCGGCTCTCACGCGGCCCTGCAGCAGGCTCTGTCGCGGCCCCGCCCCGGCCTTTACGCGGCCCCGCCGCCTGCTCTCACGCGGCCCCGCCCCGGCTCCTTCGCGGCCCCGCCGCCTGCTCTCGCGCGGCCCCGCCCCGGCTTCTACGCGGCCCCGCCCCGGCTTTCACGCGGCCCCGCCGACGGCTTTGTCGCGGCCCCGCCCAGGCCCTTACGCGGCCCCGCCGCCTGCTCTCACGCGGCCCCGCCCCGGCTCCTTCGCGGCCCCGCCGCCTGCTCTCGCGCGGCCCCGCCCCGGCTTCTACGCGGCCCCGCCCCGGCTTTCACGCGGCCCCGCCGACGGCTCTGTCGCGGCCCCGCCCAGGCCCTTACGCGGCCCCGCCGCCTGCCCCCGTCGCGGCCCGGTCACCTCCTGACGGCCCCGCCGTCCCTTCGTGACGGCTCCGCCGTCCCTTCCTGACGGCCCCGCCGTCCCCTCCTGACGGCTCCTGCCGTCCCCTTCTACCGGCCCCGCAACTGCACCTGCTGGCCCCGCCGCTGCACCTACCGGCCCCCACCACCCACCCCCCCTTTTCCCGTCGCCTGTCGAGGCGACCTGAGAGGCCAGCAGAGGGGTGGCAGGTGTGTGGCCTCCCCTGCTTCTCCTCCTCCTTCATCTCCCGCTGCAGCAGCCGAGCCGCTCACCTGGAGCAGCCGAGCCGCCCCACCGCCGAGCCGCCCTGCACCCGAGCCGCCCAGCAGCCGAGCCGCCCTGCCGCCGAGCCGCCGGGTCGCTGAGCTGCTGAGCTGCAGTTGCTGCCGAGCCGCCTTGCCGCCGAGCCGCCCGAGTCGCCCGAGCCGCCGAGCCGCCGAGCTGCCTAGCCGCTGAGTCGCCGAGCCTACTCTTCCCACCACTGGTGAGCTCTTGCCCTGCTAGCACGCTGCGCGTCGCCTACTTGCCTGCCTGCCTGCCTTTTGGCTTGCCTGGCTGCCTGCCTCCCTGCTGCTAGTCCTGCTCCTGCTTCTACTTGCGGAGCCAAATGCAGCCCCAGCGACGCCGGCGTGAGTCCCTCACGCCCCAGCAGCTGCGTGAGTGGTACGCTGGTTGGGGCTGTAGGGGTGGCGACGCTACTCCTACTACCACTCCTGCTGCTTCTACTTGTGGTGGCGGCCAGATGCAGCTCCCGCGACCCTCTCGCGTGTCTCTCACGCCTCGCCAGCTTCGTGAGTGGTACGCTCAGAGTGGAGGGTCTCTCAGTGCTGTTCGCTGCTCTTACGTGATTCGCACTGGTACTCGGACTGGTCAGCCTTGTGGGACACGTAGTCATACACCGTCCCGCTGCTTCGCCCGTCTGAGCGACGCCTGGCGTACCGTGTTTGGCGACGAGGCTGAGCTTCCCGACTGGGTGGAGTTGCTTAGGCAGAGGGTAGATATATATGCTCTTGACTATGATGCTATTCTCACTGCCATGTATGCATTGCCTACTAGTGCTGACCGTGCCGGTCACCTGTGCGTCCCGCCTGACCCAGGTATAGGACCTGCTGCTCTAGCTACTGGTGAGGCTGCTGCTCTGGGTGCTAGTGAGTCTCCTGCTCCAGGTACAGGTGCGGCTGCTGCTCTAGGTGCTAGTGAGTCTGCTTCCTCAGGTGCGGGTGAGGCTGCGCTCTCAGGTACCGCGTTGGCTTCGGCCTCCCTCACCTTTACACTTGACTCTGGGGCTTCTAGCTCCTTCTTTCGGGACCGCACCACACTCACGCCGCTTGGTCGGCCGGTTGCTGTCTCCCTGGCTGACCCCTCTGGGGGTCCTGTCCTCGCTCACTTCTCCACTGTCCTCCCGTGTCCGGCTGCCCCCTCGGGCACCCTCTCTGGCCTGTACCTCCCCTCGTTCTCGACGAACTTGGTGAGTGGTGTAGACCTACAGGATGCGGGGGTTCACCAGTTCACTCCTGCGAGTCAGCGGGTGACCCACTGCACGGACGCACGCACAGGCCGGCACCTGGCCACGTTCTCGCGTCGGCCGGGGTCGAGCCTCTACACCCTGACCACTGAGTCTCCTCCTGTCCCCGCGTCCGGTCAGGTAGCAGCGTCGGGTC